ACACATTCCACCGGGAGGAGAGAGACAAAAACAAAACCCAACCAGACCCTCCGCGCCAGAAGGGCCGCAGTTTCGCCCCAGCGGCTTGAAATCCCCGGCTGCGGGGTGCCGGGAAGCCGGCCTCTGCCCCACCCCTGCCAGCCCGCCGCCCAGTGACCTTTACAAAGGGCTCCCCGGGCAGCGCCCTCCCGGGGCCCCGCTCACCGTCGAAGTCCGTGTAGACCGTGTCCTTGAGCAGCGCCCCCGAGCCGAAGTCGATGAGCTTGAGCTCGCCGCGGCTGAGGTCGATGAGGATGTTCTCGTCCTTGATGTCGCGGTGCAGCACCCCGCAGCTGTGGCAGTACCGCACGGCCTCCAGCACCTGCCAGAAGAAGCTCCGGGCCAGCTCCTCCTGCAGGGCCCCCCGCTCGGTGATGAAGTCGAACAGGTCCTGCACCGGCTCGGGCCTCTCCAGGATCAGCACGAAACTGTCCGGCCTCTCGAACCAGTCCAGGAGGCGGATGACGCCCGGGAAGCCCGAGCTCACCTTCTTCAGCAGGACCACCTCCATGGGCACCCGGGTGCCGTTGGGCTGCGAGGGGAGGGCGGGCGGGCGAGCGAGGCGGGGGTCAGCGCGCCGGTTCCGGCACGCCCTTCTCCCGCGCCCGCCCGCCCGCCCGCCCGCGCCGAGGGTCTCACTCACCAGCTCCCCCCAGTCGGAGATCCGGTCCTTCTCCACGTGCTTGATGGCCACCTGGGAGGAGACCCCGAGCCTGCCGTCAGACCCTCTCCCTGCCGCGCGAAGCCGCCCTCCCCGCGGCGGGCTGCCCACTCACCGGCAAGTTGTCGGCGACGCGGATGCCCGAGTAGACCGAGCCGAAGCCACCGCTGCCCAGCAGCGGGCCCACCTGGTACTGCGACTCCAGGGGCTCCTTCTCTTTGCCTGGGAGGGAGGCGCGGGACGCTCAGCGCGCGGGGCCCGCGCGGGGGTCCTCCCGGGGACGCCCTCCGCGGGCCCCGCGCGCCCCGGCTGGGGTGGGTGGGGACACTCACCCGGCGCCAGCTTGGTGGCGTGCAGGTCGCCGCAGGGCGCGGCGCGCAGGTGGGCCAGGGAGTTGATCTTGGACAGGAGCATGCCCACCTCCAGGGTGTCGGCGCGGGGCCGGCGGCGGGACGAGCAGCCGCGGCGGCGGCACGAGCTGGGGCTGCGGCGGCGGCCGGGACTCAGACTGCGGGTGGCGTTGCGGCTCGCGCTGCGGCTGGCGCGCAAGGCCGAGGGCGAGTCGGAGGACGACTGAGGGCGCTGGCGGGGCTGGCGGCGGGCGGGCTCGCCGGCCGGGTCAGGCAGTGCGGGAGGCGGCGGGGCGAGCGGCGCCGCGGGACCCAGGGCTGCTGCTGGCTGTGACTCCTGCTGCTGCTGCTGCTACTGCCGAGCCCGCCGCCGGCGCTGCCGACTCCCTTCCAGCCTCCTCCGCCACCGCGGCCGCTGCTGCAGACGCCCGGCTCGCCCCGCCGCCAGGAGTAAAGGGGCGGAGCGCGCCGCTGGGGAGGGCGCGCGCGGCGGGCGGGGACGGGGCGGGGCCTCGCCGGGAGGCCGAGGCGGGGAGCCCGGCTGGCGCGGCGGCGGCGGAGGGCGGAGAGGGGGCGGGGAGGCGGCTGGGCGAGGGCCGCTCCCCTCCGCCCCGCCCCCCGGCGGCTTCGCCCCTCGCCCCGGCTCCGCCCCGCGGCCGCTGCTCTGGCCAACCAGGAGGGCGCTTATTTGCATAAGGCGTCGCTGGCTCCACCCCCGCCCCGCCCCACGCCTCGCGGTCAGAATGGTCGCTAACGCCGCCACGACGTGGCGGGAAGGAAAAGGCGCCAAAACGGAGGGGGAGGGGCGCTGGGCGTGCTGGGGAGGCGGGAGCTGGGTGGCGCGCGCGGCCGGGGAGGAAGGATGGGGAGGGGCGTATCGATTCAAACCCAAACAATAACAAAGCCATCAAAGGCCGCCCGAGGCCGGCTCCGCCGGCCCAGGGTTTCCCGGAGTTTCGGGGGTGCGGAGAGGGGTCGCGGGCCGGAGCTGGAGCGTAGCGAGTTGTGAGCAATGGAAGGGCGTTGGCGTGGCCGGCGCGGAGGCCGCGTGCGTGCGCGTGTGTGTGTGTGTGTGGATGCCGATCAGGGTGGTCCTCTCGTGTGACTCAGCCCCGAGACCTCCAAGGCTGCCGGGGGCGGCTTGACGATGCGCTGTGGGCTAGATCCCGGGGGTGGTGGCTGTGTTTGGGGGGGCGAGGGCTGTGCAAGACGTGAGTCACCGGCGCTTGCACACCGAGGGAGTGAAGGAGTCACAGGCCTGCCTGCGAGGGAAGTGGGGGAGACCTGGGCTGCGAGGAGCCCGGGACAAAGATTCTCAATTTAGAAAAGCAAAAGTAAATAAATAAATAAAGATAGAAGGTGCCGGGAGGTCCTGGTGCCTTCAGAAATGATCCGTGTCCGAGCGCCTGGGAGAGAGGAAATCACGACACAAATGTTCGCCTGCCCGTGCCAGATGCTGCCCCAGCCTCTTGGGGGGCGGGGGGCGGAGGAGGAAAATTCCCGATCGCGGCGAGGGAGGGAGGTGCCGCCGCGTCTCGGCGGAGCTGCCCCGGTAGTCACCTCATCGGCTCGGTGTTAGCAGTCAGGCGACACCAGCTATTATTGTCCCCGACCCCGGCCTTGTCTCAAAGGAAAGTCCCCAACATACACGTGGAAAAACCGCGGAGAGCCCAGTACCGCCTTCTTTTGTCCTTTTAAACTTCGTGGAGAGTTGATAAGGACGTGGGAAGCCAGTAAACTCTCACTCTAGGTAATCCCTAAGTTGAAATGTTAGTGGCCAAGAGAATTGAAAGCTAACTGCACCCTCTTTCCCTTGTTTTTGTTTTGTTTTTTAAGTCCGAGGGACCTTTAAAGGAGGAATGAGCCTGTTAGGAGAAGCAGTTGTTAACTCATTTAAATGTTTCCTTTACAAGTTTTCCACCGTGCTTATAAAGATGCCCAGAGACTCCATAACTTTTATAGATGCCTGTTACAAAACATGACATATTTCCCTTTTGTTTGTGTTCTGGGGCCTAAGTCATTCATTTTTGATGACGAAAGGAGAAAACCCAGGGGAACAAGAATTACTTCCTCTTTTTTGCAGATAGGAAAATGAAACGTAAGTAGCATGACACAGGGTCATACAACAGCCAAGGGAGCCGGTGAAATGACCCGAATTCTGCTCCTGAGTGTTCAAAGCTTTCTCTTTAATCAGTCTTAGAACTCCTATGACACGGGCATTGAACAGGACATCAGGAAAAGAAGGAAGTGGTGCACATGCCTTCAATCCCAGCATTCTGGGCCGGGCCAGCCTTGTCTACATAGAGAAACGCTATCTCTAAATAAACACCTATTTTAAAACATCAGCTCTCAGACCCTCACCTCTGTCCAAACAGGAGGATTCCCACCTGCTTTCACTCTCCAGACTCTGTGCCTCTGCAGGTTCAAGTCAACCTGTCCTGGAAGTGCCTTGACCTCTTCTCCAAATGTATATGATGTTGGGAAATAAATCCAGGGTCTTGTGTGCACCCCGCCGACTGAGCTGTTTTCCAGACCTCTCCTTTTATCCAAAGCCCTGTGTCCATTTATTTTTATTGTCTCCCCACTTTGTTTTTCCTTTCCTACTTCTTACTAGAAGGTCTCACTACATGCTCTGAAGCCTGGGCAGGTCTCAAACTTTTTTTTTTTTTTTGCTTCTGCCTTTCTAGTTGCCTACCTTACCAGTATGCCCCACCTTGCCCACCTTCCATCCATCAGTTACTGCTAGGAAAGAAAGAATGTGATCCAACGTAAAGATGATGATTCAAATCAATTTATGAACCAGGTATAGTGGCTCATACCTGTAACCCCAGTACTTGGAAGGCTGAGGCAGGAGGATTGCCAAACTGTACTGTATAGTGAACCAGACTGTGATATAACAAGACCCAGTCTCAAAAAAAAAAAAAAAAAAAACTGAAGGAAAAAAAGAAAGAAAGAAACTTATGGCGGAGTATGCAGCTCAATGATAAAACATCCATCTGGCATTCCTGGGGTGCATCCCCAAGAGGGCAAGAGAGAAAGAAAGAAAGAAAGAAATCCAAAAACGACAAAACCCAGGTCATTTAAGTGGGCTCAGGAAAAATAAGCAAAGGGTGAGAGAGAAAAAATTACATAAACCAGAAGGTTCAGTTAGGCAGCTTTCCATTCTGAGAAGTGGTACCTGGTGACTATGAAAACGGTCAAGTTACCGAACCTTCCTCAGGTGTAGCTGGGATGCAGACAATATCACCTACCTCCTCCTCGCTGTAAAGGAGAGGTGTGTGTGTGTGTGTGTGTGTGTGTGTGTGTGTGTGTGTGTGTGTAAGTGTGAAACCATGCCCCAGACCCGGCACGAACCCCTGAACCAGCTGTGGGGATGGCATTGTGATGACAATTTTGAGAGCAACAGGAAGCGCTTGTTGGAGTGTCCTTTTATTACTATCACATTCGTGTGGGGCCAGGGGCGGGTGGGGGACGGGTGCACGCCACAGTGAGCGTGTGGAGGTCAGCGGACGACTCCTGGGAGTCCATTCGGAATGTTCTTATTCCTGGAAGGGTCCAAAGGTAAAAATGCTGGATACGGGCAAGGCTTTGTGGGTAAATGTGCTGCCGAGCAGAGTTTGATCCCCATGCCCCGCCCCCCAGTTGTCCTCTGTACTCTCCGTCACCTCTCTGTCTCATTCCTTCTCTCTCAATAAACAAACGAACCAACAAGGGGTTGGGGGCTGGAAAGGTGGTGGCTCCGCTGTGAACAGTGCTTACTATTCTTGCACAGGGCCTGAGTTCAGTTCCCAGCACCCAGGTCTGGTGGCTGACATCCCTTATAACTCCCGCTCCCGTTGATCCCATGTCCTGTTCTGGCCCCTTCATGCACCTGCCCTCACATGGACCTGTCCCCCCCCCCCCATATAATTTAAAAATAAGATATTAGAAAAAAAATGTGTGAGGCCGGGGGCTGGGGGGAACTACTTTCAAAGATAATGAATTGCCACCTGGGCGTGGCATCTCTCCCCAGCACTCTGGTAAAGAGTAGCTTTTGTTACCGCTAAACTGAACACTAATCAAAACAACCAGCAGGTCATTTCCATAGGACAGATTTAATCAACTCAGTGTCAAAGGTTGGCCAGCAATGTTTGTAATCAGTGAAGCGTAGGAGGAAGTTTGAAGGGCTCTCCTGACGAGTATTAAAGTACTTTTTTCCCCCCAATGCTGGAGAGCTAATCCAGAGCCTCAGATTAGGCATGTGTACACGCCAACCTCTGAGGTCGGGGAGCCGGCCTCTCGGCTTCTGGGACTGAGGAGGCTTTTCTCCGATACGATTTATTTAGTAATTATCCCAGGCCGGGTGTGGTGGTTGTTCGCCTTTAATCCCGGTGTTTGGGAGACAGAGGCAGAGTTCAAGGCCAGCCTGGTCTACATAGTAAGCTCTCTGCCAGACAGGATGACTCGGAGAAATTCTGCCTCAAAAATAAACAGCTGAAATGGACTGTAATGGTTTTTCTGGGGCTAGAGAGGTGTCCCCGTTGTTAAAGGGAGTTCGCTGCCCCTGGCATCCTCATGGTGGTTCATACCTGTCTTCGGTTACCCAGGACTTGGAACGTGGAGGCAGGGGGACCAGGAGTTCAAGATCATCCCAGCTTTATTCCGAGGCTGGCCCAGACTACGTAAGAGACCCCTGTCTCAAAATGAAAAAGAAAAAAAAGAAGGGGGTGGGGACAGATGGCCTGGGGATGGCTCAGTGCTTAAGAGCACTATTGCTCTTGCAGAGGACCTGGTTCATTCCCATACGGCGATTTATTCTTACCTGTAACTCTACTTTCAGGGGACCCAACACCCTCTTCTGGCCTCCGAGGACATCATACATGAAGCGCACTTACGTATACATAAGAGAAGTAAATAGCAGGGCATAGCAGCCCTTGTTTTAACGCCAGGAGACAGAGGCGGGCAGATCTCTAGGAAGGAGTTTGGGGAAAGCCTGGTCCACATGGTGAGTTCCCGGCAGGCATCTCAAAGTGAAAGAAAACAAAACTAATGCATACATCTTTTAAAAAGAAAGCAGAAACGTGAGGATTGGGACTGTAGCTCAGACAGACAGACAGATCAGGAAGCCAAAGACGCTGAGGGTTCTATTCTGTCTATTCTATTCTATTAGCGTGCGTGTATCTGTACGTGGGAACGGGCACTTACGTGGAATTGCCCTCAAAGGCCGGAAGAGGGCACTGGATCCCCTGGAGTTGGAGTCACAGATGGTTGTGACCCATAGATGGGAGTGCTGAGGGTGAGCCTCTGGTCTCCGAGAGAGCAGTCCATACTGATGAGCCATCCCTCCAGCCCCGCTGCATCCTTTGTATTCCCTCCGAACCCGCACACGTAAGGGAACAAAGGTTTCTCTAAGTAAGGCAGAAGCAGAGGGCCAGAGGAGGGCTCCCTGAGACCCGCTGGAGTCCAGCGAGATGGAAAAGCCAGCTGACGTCTTTTCTGATGGAAGAAGACACAGATTCCCAATTCAGACAAGCTTTCAAGCTTTCAAGCCAGAGGGCTTGACATCCTAATGACAACAAAGCGGCCACTAACTGACTTGGTCACTCGGAGAAACTTAAACTCACTTTTTAACATATACTTCCTCTTTTCCAACTGTTTTACTTCTCAGAATGGCCAGGGCTTCTCTCTTCTCTGCACGAGGTCAGGCGTTATGGCCTGGCTTTTGACCTCTTTCAGAGATCCTATGAAGGAACTTAATTTGTTTTGTGGGCTTCTGTCTGTGTTTTCATTTTACTAAGTGATGGATTTGAGGGTTTCTTGGTTTGAGCCTTTGCTTTTTTGGTTATTGTTTTTGTTGTTGTTATTGTTTTTTGTTGTTGTTTGGGTTTTTGGTGTTTTTGAAACAGGGTTTCTCTGTGTAACTCTAGCTGTTTAGGCAGGCTTCACAGAGATCCGCCTGCCTCTGCCTCCTGAGTGCTGGGATTAAAGGCATGTGCTACCATCTCCTGGCTCCTTTGCTTTTTTTTTTTTTCTTTGTAATTAAAAATAAATTTTGATGGGGCTGGAGAGATGGCTCACTGGTTAAGAGCACTTTCTGCTCTTCCAAAGGACCCGGGTTCAATTCTCAGCACCCACATGGCAGCTCACAACTGTCTGTAATGGCAATTCCAAGGGATCTGACACCTTCATGCTAATGCAAATAAAATAAAGATAAGTAAATAAATAAATATTAAAAAAGATAAATTTTGAGATGGGCATTATACACACCTGTAATCCCAGTACTCAGGAGGCAGAGGCAGACAGATCTCTGTGAGGCCAGCGTGGTCCACAGAGTGAGTCCAGGATAGCCAAGGCTACACAAAGAACCCCTGTCTCGGGAGAAATAAATAAATAAATAAATAAATAGAGACATTTTTTTTAGCTTGGTGGCGGTGGCACACACCTTTAATCCCAGCAGTTGGTAGAGAAGCAAGACAATGTCCGTGAGTTTTAGGACAAGTAGGGCTACACAGAGGAAACCCTGCCTAAAATAAATAAATAATATATAATAAATATTATATAATAATATAAACATATATTCATATGATGCTATATAAAATAAATTAATAATTAAATAAAATAAATAAACGAATAAGCAAATAGACAGAACATTGGAGCTGGGTTCAGTTTTCAGCGTCAATGGAAGCTCACAAAATCACCTGCAACTCTAGTTTCAGGGGATCTGACATCATCTTCTTCTGGCCCCCAGGGGGTTCATGCAAACACATGATGCCTGTAGACCCACAGGGTCGTGTGCACACACACACACACACACACACACACACACACACACACACACACACTCTAACTAACTAACTCTTCACAATTGTTTCTTTTATTGAATGTGTGTGTGATGTGTGTTGCCAGAGAAGGACTTGTAAAATCAGTTCTCTCCTTCCACACTCTGAGTCTAGGAACGGAACTTGGAACTCGGTTCTTCAGGCTGGCCAGCTCGAACCTCCCCTGGTGAGCCATCTCACCAGCTGATAACGGTTTTGCATTTTGGGTTTTGATGTGACTTTCAGGATGGAGGAGTGGGTGAACCTGGGTCCTCCAGCATGCTGAACAACGGCTCTGCTGTTGAGCTGAATCCCCGCTGTGCTGTCAGTCTTCGGCACAGTGACCCACTGATTTGCCCAGACTGTCCTTGAACTCAGTCTGTACACTAAATAACACTGGAAATTGTGGTCCCCCTGCCTCAGACTCTGAAGTACAACCATACCAGGCTTTGCTTTGTTTTCTGTTTTATTTTGGTTGTGATTGTTTTTGTTTGTTGTTGTTGTTATTTGTTTCCACAGGAACTAATTGTAGCCCAGGATGGCTTGAAACTCACCCTAGCTTGGAGATACCTCTGTCTTGAAGGGAGCTACCTGCCTCAGTTTCCCCACTAAGCCCAGCTCCATTTATTTCGGCGTAGGTGTGCTTTGTGTACATGTATGTCTGTGTGCCACATGTGTGCCTGGTGCCAGTGGAGGTCAGAGGAGGGCACTGGATCCTCTAAGACTGGGGCTGGAGTTACAGATGGTTGTGAGCCTCTACGTGGGTGCTGAGAATCAAACCCGGGTCCTGCACAGGGGTAGCCAGGGCTTTTAACCACCGAGCCATCTCTCCAGCCCCCAGTCTTCTTTTTTGTTACACAAGAGTCCTGGCGTTTGCTTCATTTTTGAGATGGGATTCAAACCCTTCAGACTCAAGGAATCCACCTGCTTCTGGCCCCTGAGTACCTGAGACTACAGACCTCAGTCAGCAGAGCATGCCAGGTGCCCGGAAGTAAGAGTTGTGCTGCCCTCACACAGCACTGGCATCCCCTTTCCTTGCCCAGGTGGCGTTTCCTTCTATGTTCAATGATGCCACTTTACTCAGCAGCCACGAGGGTGGAACATGCCTGTGATCCCAGCAGTCCCAGAGGCTGAAGCAGGAGGAATGGGAGTTCTAGGTCAGCCTGAGCTAGGGAGTAAGGGTCAAAAAAAAAAACAACACCCACTCCCGAGACGCGAAGGTCATCATTCTTAACATCAGTCAGAATCACACCTGAAGTCATTCTTATGAATGGGAGGTCAGCTGGCAAGCAGCCAGTTCTGAGTTCATTGTGTCTCTCTCCGACCAAAGAAGCCACCTGGTCTCTCTTCCCTGATCTTCCTGACCCACTTCAGCCAAGTGTTTGAAAACTCAGCAATTAGCTGGACGAGGTGGCTCCTGCCTTTGTTTGCAGCGCTCCGGGAGGCGGAGGCAGGCAGGTCTCTGTGAGTTCGAGGCCAGCCTGGTCTAAAAAGCGAGTCCAGGACAGCCAAGGGTCTACACAGAAAAACCCTGTCTCGGGAGGGGGGACCCTCACAGCAATCATTTGCAGTGATAATACGACCCCTTCTAAGCATTTAATGCCACTATCTGAAAGAACAAAGAGCATAGCCACTGCAGCTGAGTGACCGAGCACACACAAAGGGCCCCTGATTCAACACCCAGCACCTGGATCAGTCAGTCAAATTAGGGCTACAGATGCGGCTTACCGACAAAAGCACTTGCCCAGCCTGTAGTGGATGCTGGGTTCAACCTCCAGCACTGGAGGGGGAAAAAAAAGATAAAATTATCTGTAATACTTAATAATAGTTAAATAATAGTTATTTTCCTGTTGTGATAAAATACCCCAGCGATGTCAATGTACAGGAGGAAGGGTTTATCTGGGCTTATGGTTGCTTAGGGTTGGAGTCGGTGACGTGACGTCCGAGCTCAGGCAGCAGGCAGGGCCTGGCAGCTCAGCGATGCTGTGAGCCTTTAAGCTCTCAAAGCCTGCCCCCAGTGACACACTTCCTTCCACAAAGCCACACCGACTAAACCTTCCAAATACCATCCTCAGCTGGGGCCAAGCCCAAATGCTGAGACTGGGCACGTGGGTGAGCTGTTTGTTTTTAGTTTTTTCGAGACAGGGTTTCTCTGTGCACCCCGGGCTGTCCTGGACTCACTCTGTAGACCAGGCTGGCCTGGAACTCACAGAGATGCGCCTGTCGCTGCCTCTCCAAGCGCCGGGATTAAAGGCGTGCACCACCGCCACCTGGCCCACGTTTACTATTGAGGCCACCACAGAATTGAAGCCAGGTGTGGAGGCCAGTATCTTTGATTCTAGCACTGAGGACGTTGAGCCTAGAGACTCCTGATGTCCAGGCCGGTCTGGAAAACTTGCCTCAAAAAAAAAAAAAAAAATAATAATAATAATAATAATAATAATAACGTAAATCGATAAATAATTAGAATACAGAGGGAGATGGCTCAGTTGGCAAAGTGGTGGCCAAGCAAGAATGAGAGCTGGTGGTCCATCCCCAGAGTCCACACAAAAGCTGGGCGTGGCGTTGGATGCTTCTAATCCCGGCACTGAGGAAGCAAAGACAAGGGGGTCCTTTGGGGGCTCACTGGCCACCGTGTGTGTGTGTGTGTGTGTGTGTGTGTGTGTGTGTGTGTGTGTGTGATCAACCTGTGGCCTCCACCTGCAGGGGCACACACAGAGGCACATATACAGAAATGATAGTAAATAGGAAGCTCAGGCAAGCATCGCCCGAGGTGGCATGCCCGGGAGCAGCTGAAGCAGCTTGATCACTGGAGTCCATGTATTTAGGGCCAGCCTGGGCAGCCCACCCTCCCTCCTCTCTCTGTAATGTATGTGTGAGAGTCAGAGGACAGCTTGCAGGAGGTCAGCTTCTGAGGACGGAACTCAGGTCGGCAGGCTTGGGGGTGGGCACGGTTACCCGCTGGACGATACTGATTGATAAAAATTAATCAAATCCAATCTGAGACAACGAACACAAGATAGCATGGACGTCTCTTGCCTCTACCTCTGTCCTAGTCACTTTTATGGTAAAGTAATGAAAAGACAGGTGTTTACCCTTCCACAATAGACTTCATATGTGCTTCATCGGTGCAAAACATAGCTCATCAGTCTCATAAAGATACAAGCTTCAAGCCAGAGGTGACAAGGCCGCCTCTAACCCAGAACTCAAAAGGCCGAGGAAGGAAGAGCATTACCACCTGCTTTGAGGCCGGCCTGAGGCTACAAAGTGGGCCCGGGGCAGAAGGATCTCTAATTTGAGGCCACAATGGCTCCATTTGATACTCTATCTCAAAAAAACAGTCTAAAACAAGACTTTGGGGCTACGGACACAGCCCAGTGAGAGAGCTTACCTAGCTCCGTTCCTAGTACCGAAAGACAAACTCTATTTTAAAACGACGATTTTTTTGAAGCAATATTTTGTCTTCTTCAAGGAGGTCCTTGCACTGAGTGTGGTGGTGACCCAGGCCTCTGAGGCCAGCACTCAAGATCTCTGTGAGTTCAGTGGCAAGCCTGGTCTACGTAGGGATTCCATGTCTCAGAAAAATACAAAAGATGCTTGCATAAATTGGTTCCCAGATTTCAGGCTTGGGGGTGGAGGCGCATCCCAAGTGTCAGAGGGCTCTTGCCTGGCATGTAGGAGGCCCTGGATTCTTTTCCCAACACTAGAAATAAGTAGCCATAACTAGATGAACGAAAGGATGGCCAGTTTCCTAAAGAAAAGGCCTGGAGAAGCAAGTGTGCTCTGATGAAAAAGTGGTGGTACCTGAGTGTGCTCCTAGACTCCTGAGGCAGAGGCAGGAGGGTCAGGAGGTTAAGATTATCTGTGGCTACAGCAGGAGCTGGTCAGCCACAGCGCGGACTACGCAGCAGCACCCTCTTTAAACAAGCAACCCACCAAACAAAACCAGTAAGATCTAACTTTTTGGAGGGCGGGGGGTTGAGGCAGGGTCTCACCTCATCCGTAGCTGACCTAGAAATCACTACGTAGACCAAGCTGACATGGACCGACAGCGTGCAGTTCTCCTGTCTTTGCCTTCCCCCGGAATCGCCAGTGGTTACAGGTGAACGCCGCCACGTCCGGCTGCTAGCTAATATTAGCCGTGCGTTAATTAATCATTTTATACGGCACATATGGTACATGCAT